GCCACTGCACTCCAGTCTGGGCGACAGAGTGAGACTCCAACTCAAAAAAAAAAGGGCACTCAGTTGAAGCAAACACATACTTGTAGATATTACCATATCTGTTTCATATGACATATGTTTATTATTCTCTTTTGCTAAAACTTTCTCTTAGCAAGATAGTTTTAAGTACAGAAAAACCCACCAAGAAAGAGCATATTAAAATATGGATAGGGTTGGGTGCAGAAGCTCAAGCCAGTAATCCCAGCACGCTGGGAGGCCAAGGTGAGAGGACTGCCTGAGACCAGGGGGTCGAGACCAGCATGGGTAACTTGGCGAGACTTCGTCTCTACAATAAATCAAAATATTAGCTGGGCATAGTGGTGCTTGCCTGTGGTTCCAGTTACTTGGAAGGCTAAGGTGGAAGAATTGCCAGAATCCAGCAGGTCGAGGCTGTAGTGGCTGTGAGCATGCCACTGCACTCCAGCCTGGGCGACAGAGTAAGACTCCAACTCAAATAAAAAAAAAAAAAGAAAGGAAAATATTATTTACTTAGTAAATTTGAGAGAGAGAGAGGAGATCCCCAAGGTAGGGGAGGAGGCCAAAACCAGGAAACCTGGCCTGGCCATAGCCCAAAGAGCACAAGGTCACACCATAGCTTAGCAAGGCAAAAACCCTTGAGTTGGAATTTCACTGTCATCTAGACTGAAGTGCAATGGCACACTCATGGCCACTGCAGCCTCGACCTGCTGGGTCAGGCAATCCTTCCAAGTAGCTGGAACCACAGGCACGCACCACCACGCCTGGCCAGTTTTTTTACTTATTGTAAAGATGAGTTCTCACCAAGTTGTCCAGGCTGATAACGAATGCTTAGGCTCAGGCAATCCTCTTGCCTCCACCTCCCAAAGTGCTGGAATTACAGGCATGAGCCCCTGCACCCGACATGACTTACAATTTTTTTTTTTTGAGTTGGAATCTCACTCTGTCGCCCAGACTGGAGCGCAGTGGTACGCTCCCGGCCACTGCAGCCTTGACTTGCTGGGCTCAGGCGATCCTTCCGCCTCAGCCTTCTAAGTAGTCGGAACTACAGGCACACACTACCATGCCTGGCTAGTTTTTTGGTTTATTGTAGAGATGAGGTCTCACCAAGTT